AGTGCTGGGATTAAAGGTGTGCACCACCACCACCCAGCTCTCATCAGCTTTCTTAGTCACAGAGGAAATTTCCATAGTTTCTTGTTTCTGTCCTTGACTCTAAAGTTAGGATCACATGGCCAAAGGTGCCAGATTTTGTTGCTTACTGGGGTGAAACATGGCTCCTTTGTTCAATTACCTCTTTTAAAATTTTCTACTTGCAATGATTTCCTCCACTGCCTAAGTTTGACTGTCCTGAAAGATGCTCTGAAGACCAGGTTGACCTCAAACTCAGAGATCCTCCAGCCTCTGCCTTCTGATTTCTGAAATTAAAGACATGCACCACCACACCAACTCTAAGCTTTTCTTAATTCTCTTTCACTAGTTGGAAAGGCAGCTGGGTGGGATCTTACCCCAAGGTCACTACTCTCTTTATTCCATTTCTTAATCTGTTTATCTCCTTGAACACAGAACTTAGCTCCATTCCACTTCCTGGTGTTTCTTTTCTTCTCAGTTTGTTCATTTTCTTTTTTTAGTATCTTTTATTGTTTTTATTAAGCTATATATTTTCTCTACTCCCCTCACTTATTCAGCCGTCCCTTTCTACCCTCTCCCATAATTTCTGTGATCCCAATTTACTCAGATCTTGTCTTTTTCTACTTCCCATGTATATTAATACATGTATGTCTCTCTTAGCACCCTCTTTGTTGTCTAGGTTCTCTGGGATTGTGAATTTTACATGAGCTCCTCTACATTATAAAACTTTATAAGCATTAACACTGTTAACAGACAGCAGAGTCTATACTAAGTTCGTTTAAAATTTCTTCTGCCAATAGAATTAATCGGAAACACTTCACTTTAGCCTCAGGCACTCTTCGTTCAAGGGCATCAAAATATCACAAGACCAGTCTTAGCCCACATACTAACATTCTTCTCCTCTGACGCCTCTTGATCCAGGCACCCACAGTTCAAATCACACTCAGTACCATTGTCTTCTGTGCTCCTACTAGGATGTCCCATTATGCAGCACTTGAAATGTTTAACTGCTTTTCTAATCCATAAACTAAGTTAATATTTCTTTGAACAAAAACATAGTCAGGCCTATCATAGCAATATCCCAGTCCCTGGTAGCGGGATCTTAGTTACGGTTTCTACTGCTGTGAGGAGACACCATGATCACAACAACTAAAAGGAAAAACATTTCATTGGGGTGGTTTGCATTTTCAGAGATTTAATTCATTTTCTTCATGGTCACACAAGGCAGCATGCAGGCAGATCTGGTGCTAGAGAAGGAACTGAGAATCCTGCATCTTGACGTGCAGGCAACTGGAAGTGGTTTGAGTCACTGAGTGTGACTTGAGCATATATGAGACCTCAAAACGCCCTCCACCAGTGGCACGTTTCCTCCAACAAGGTCACACCTACTCCCAAAAGGGCACACCTCCTAACAGTGCCACTCCATTTGGGGGTCATTTTCTTTTAAACCATCACAGAGGTCCCAGGACAGTAACAACCCAGAAATCTAGAAACACCGTTTCAGTTTTCTAAGGCAATGGTGTTCAGGCTCCAGGGATTAGTCCTTGACATTTGAAGAAAATATTCTATAAACCACACTATATTTGAGAGCAAAATCCAGGTCCGGGTATGTGTGTGTGTGTGCGTGTGTGTGTGTGTGTGTGTGTGTGTGTGTGTGTGTGTGTGTTCATGTAGGGACCAGAGGTCAATGTCAGGTGACTTCCTCAATCACTCTCCTCATTCTCTGTACAGTGTCTCTCACCAAACCTAGAATTCATCAACTCATCAGTGACTATCCGGCCAGTAAGTCCCAAGTATCCTCCTCCTCTCTTTCTCAACAATCATGGGATTACAAATATGTGCCACCATGCTTGGATTTTTAAATAGAGTTGGAGATAGGAACTCAAGTTCTCATGCTTGCACACCAGGCACTTTACTAACTGAGCTGTTTCCCCAGCCCTGGGACTCAATTTGCGTTATTTCAAGAATGAAAGACAAAAATGGGTATGTAGGCTTTACTGTTTCCAGGTAAACTTTCAGCCCAGTGCCAGAGCAAATCCCTTATCAGTATTAAATCCTGGTTACAAATCTCCCTGTAACTAACGATACTAATTCACTCCCATTTCTAGATGAGGGTCTCTTACCAAACCAGTCAGAAAACATTGCTGGGGGGGACTTAGTAATCAGATGGGATCTGAGAAAGGTACAAGACAAATTTCTAAAGTCAAGTTTCATTAGCTCATGTGCTTTTAGACCTATGCCCTCATGTGACCACATTTTAAAACTTACCTTGATAAGCCAATTACATGTTTGAATCTCTGTTAACAAAGCATTCACCAAACAATTGTGGGACAAGCAAGCAGTAATAGAAATACCTTCTTCACTCTGTGCCAGGTGCCATTCTCTCACCATTCAAACAAAAGTCACTTCCGCTGGATGTCATGTGAGACCCATGAAATTCTCTACAGTGAACTCAGTGTAAAAAAATGAAGAAACTTTTCTCTGTCATATCACTTAAGCTCGACATAACTCAGTTATCAGAGCCCAGAGGTTACCCATCACTCATAAGCAAGTACCTTTGGAGATACCAATGAACGAATATTATTCTCTAGAAGAATGGCAGATATATTTGCACCACAGCAGATGTACTTGTTACTGCTCTAATTGATCTCAGAAAACCCAACCAGGAGCAACTTCAAGGAGAGAAGGCTTATTTGGGGCTTATAGTTTAAGAGTACATACATACAAGTAACATTATTCAGACTGAGAAACTAATATAACAATAATTTTTTTTAAATAAAAAGAGGTCATGAAGTTGAAAATGAGTAAAGAGGAAGTCATATGGGAAGCTTTGGAGGTAGGAAAGGAAAGGGAAAATTATATAATTATACAATAATACCAAAAGTAAATGGGAAAAAATAAAGTCCATCTTTTTAGGAAAGACACCGTGGGCAGGAAATGTGAAGTAACTGGTCACACTGCACCCAGTCAGGAAACAAAACAGAAGGGAACTGTGGCCAAGTCCAAGCCTGCCCCCAATGGCTCACATCCTCCACCTCCTTAATGTTCTAGAACCTCCCAAAACAGGACCGTCAGCTGATGTTCACATCCTGGCCAACTGATGTGATAACCTCTGACACACTCCTACCACCATGGACAGAGCTGTTCCACCCTGCCTCCCCCTACTTAACGCACTGAAGTCACCTGAAGGCATAAGCCAAAGTATATATATACTTCCTTCTTTAGGAAATTTATTTATGCTTTGGTCATAGCATTGTTAGGGGCATGAACCCCTTCTTCCAGACTCAGGCTCCTTATTTGCTGTTGTCCTAAACTTGTTTCTGTGGCTAAGCCCCTCATACATTACACTTTCTCCAATACTGAATTTGCCCACTTCATTTTTCCTTTTCTTTAGAAGACTGTTCTTTTTCAACAAGACAGACTAGGAATAAAAAGTCCTGGGTTCAAATTCCTGTTCACTCACTAGCTAGATGTGAAAGACACAATACTCAATAAGCCAATGAGCATCTTATCTCTCTCAATCTCTATCTTTTTAAAAATAATATTACAGGTTGTGGGGAGTGAAGTAAATGACTTAGTTTAAGCATCCACTCACTCATAAACATCTGGAATTGAGTTTAGTAAATTATGTGCTCAGCTTACAGTGTCAGAACATTACTACTTACCTAAGAAAAAGAAGCAGGAGCCATATGACACACACTTGAAAGACTATCCTAGTAATAACTAAACGATATTGGAGCCTATCCTACTCACTTCGGGGACTAGAAACTTTAGTGTTTTTCTTATAA